CCCTCAAGGTGAGGGGCTGATGGCAGCGATGGTGAGGAGGGTGCCGGAGCAGTGTTCTGTTCTGTCGTGCATCAGAATCAACGTGGCAGCACAGACCACCAATAATGACAAACAGTGCCCGCAGGGAGAACAAACGGTCTTCCTCAATAACTCAGAGACTGGAGACAAAAAGGGCAGCATTTGCCTAACAAACACAGTTCTGATGGTCAGAGGGAGCCGTAGAAGGACAAAAGGGCATGGGATGGAGAGGAAGGGCTGTTTCTCTGACAGGAGCACTTTCATCATCACGGGGAAAGCATGGGAGAGTCCCTGGAGGAAAAACTAATTTGCTCTGTAAACTTTCCCCCAAACTGCAAGTAACAGGAACAACAACAACAGAATTACTGCACAAAGGGCCCAAAACATCCATGGCTCAAAAATAGGTAAGACATGGAGAGCCTTGTGCAGACACTGTGGTCACACGTGATGTACAACTCACAATACTGACATGCTGGTCCTGCCTCGTGCCTTACTCGCCGCCCGTCCCACGTCCCTGCGGAGGAGGTGCTGTGTCATCCAAGGCCTGGGCAGAGACCTGAGGATGGAGGGCCCGACCGCGGGACAGGCTCTGGGTCAGCTCCAACTGTGACAACCACGAGCACCTCACAGAACCGTGCCAGAGTCACGCCAATAGGCACAAGGCAAGTATGAAACATCCAGAAGAAAACTGAAGCTGCACCTGCACCTTTTTCCCTCCCCAACCATAAAACGGAATCCATTTGTCCTGCTCGGTCTCAAGAACGTTGGAGACAACAGGGCATTTCTATTCACTAGAAACTTCTTAAAAGGTATTGAAATTAGAGACTGATGAAAACATGAGCTCTCTGGGAGCCAAGCTTCCAGGGATACAGGTATTTTCTACCATGCGATTGATTTTCCAAATACTAGTAAAAATGAATAATCCTGCTAATTCAATAGTCTATGCAGTTCTCCTGTTTCCTGGAAATCCTGGGTTTCTGCAGGTGCTGAAAGGAGTGACTTAAGCAGCCTCGCATCCTGGCCCTTGGGGAAGATAGCCTGAGGTTTTCCTCTAAGTCCTGAGGAATGACCACCCAGAGCAGAGGGTTTATCGCTTTGTCCAGCCGAAGGGACATTCCTAGAGTAAGCTGTCAGCAACCTGTGGTTTGATCTTTGTTGTTTGGACTGGTGACAGCCTTGCAAGGGTTGGTCAATAGGCTATGCAAATGAGGCATCTGTGTCTACCAGAAGGGGGATTGGTCATTGCTTGTCCCTGGTGGGTAGACCATGCTTTGCGAATGACAAGGAGTCTGTATACAAGTGGCCAACCTCCTAGAGCTTTTTGGGCAGGGAGAGGGTCCCTGCTACAGTCAGTAGGGACAGACAGCACAGCAGGGCTGAGATGAGGAGCACCCCCTCCCCACACCCCCCTGCACTGGTAACCCCTGCTGACTCTGACCCCAGATTAATACAAACTAGCCCTGGTGGACAGGTGGCTACACACTGGGCTGCTAACCAAGATAGTTCAAAACCAGGCCTATCTGCATGAGAAAAAACCCACAGGGGCAGTTCCACTCTGTCCTGTGTGTGTATTGTGGGGAGGGGGGTATCACGATTACGTGAAACTGACTACATGGCAGTGAATTTGTGTTTGTGTGTTTTAAGTATGCTGTGAGCTGTGTGACACCCCCACCACCCCACAGTGGATTACAAAGCAGAGGGTGTCCCAGGGATGGAAAGCAGTGTGGGAGCAGGCAGAGAGGTTGGCATGTAAGTCTATCTGACCATGAGGACCCGTGCAGGGTCATCATCACTCACGTGTTTCACAGCCCCTCCAATTTAGATGGGTTCTGGCTGCCCTCCTCCCAACAGCTTACCCCTCAGTATGGGAGGGGCTCTGGGAAGAGGGTGGGGAAGGGCACTCCGCAGCGCCCCGGCATTGTGTAAACGGAGGCAAAGCCCAATTAAGTCAGACAAAAACAGGTAGGTATTCCTCCTTCCTTTTCATTTCTAAAGATTAGAGTTACATTTTACTAGATAAACTTGAACTATGTGCACATTGTACAGGTATTGCTTTTCAAAATATTTAGAATACAATCAGCAACGTGATAGAAAATTTGGCAACTATCCTAAATAAAGCCAGCCCCATTCTCATTATCCTCCAAACGCACGTCCCTACCGCACAGACTAGCCTATGTTCCCACAGACCTGGAGTACACACATACCTCACCCACACGTCCAACCTCCAACACTCCCCTCCTGCGTGTACACACATGTATGTAAATCCCCATTCCCATACACGATCCCCCAATACACACACATCACTGCACACCCACTCCCACGTACACGTCCCCTCTTGCTTTTTCAGACACATACACTGACACACACACTCCATTTCAAGGGCAGAACAGAGACAGGAAAGGACTCAGAATTCCCATCCTGGGGTCCCTTCTGATGCCCAGGCAGCGAGCAGGGCAGCCTCGGTGAGCACTGAGGGCAGACCGTTTCAGCCAAGGTGACGGGGACACTCCAGAGGTGCCTCATTGTGCAGGCTTCTCCAAAGAGTGTCCAGTGGCTATTAAAGTGCCAATGCCTCTGTGACTGTCGCAATGGAGTGTGGAGGTGATCCCGAGACTCATGCCCCATTCCTTTGGAAAATACAAAGAAACACAATAAAAAGAAGCCGCCCCCCTGCCAGCACTCTCAGGGCTGCACCTGCACGGTGACTATGAGGCCGCAGGCCTATCAGGATGAAGGGCCACGTCACGTCACAGGGATCTCCAGAAAGGGTCAAGGACTGACACACAGCCTTCCCCACTGCACACCAGACGCTGGACACCTACAGCCGTGCCCCTGCTCCGGTCCCCTGCAAGCCTCGCTGCGTTACAGGATACCACACCAACCTGCCCCAGCTGATGTAATGAAACCCAGACACCAGGACACGGCTGGAGGAGCAGGGACACAAAAGCCACCCGCACGGTGAATGGGAGCAGCTTCTATTACAAATTCAGATAGCCCACTTACATAATTTAGACTGCCATCCCCACTAACAGGCGGCACAGAGGTTGCTGAAATGGCACCTCTCAAAATGTGACAGTAATCAAGATAATGTGGTTCTCATGTGGGACAGTAATGTGAGTGGCCTGAGAGCCTCCTGCACTCAGGATTTTGAAATCCCCAGGTGGGAAGGACACAAACTATCAGGTCTTTCTTGCTGATCTGGCTGAACGGTTTCTGGGGCTGTAGAACAACTATGACTGTTTAGAAAAGAACCTTGTCTCTAGAGGGGCACACAGAAATATGTATGGTGGAGTTGACCTACGGGCCCTTCCTAAACAACCCAGGAATGGGGCCAGCGACTGACGGGTGAGCCCTGCCTGCTGACGGTGGCCACGGGACTTGACGACACTGTTTTCTCTGCATCTCCGTCTGTGAGAACCTCACTGTGAGGGCAGTCCATCCCTCCCTCTGACACTAGACCAGGGAAGTCCAGGCCTGCAGCCCCACATAGAGCCTCCATAGCCATGCACACCATCTGCCTCCCAGCCCCCTGGAGCACCTGCTCCCAGCCAGGGCTGCCCTGCACCACCAGTAAGCAGTTCCAACGGGCAGAGTTCTGCATCCAGGCACTACATATTTCCCAACACCCAGTCATCCCTCCAGAGCTGTCCAGCCTGGCCTCTAAACTCCAAATCCCACCAGGAGCCAAGAGGAAAAGGTCTGTCCGTGTCTGCCGAGATCTCACCAGGGCAGGACGTGCGCCCCCCCAAGAGTCACCCCAAGTCATCCCACTAGACCCATGAGGTAAGTGGCAACAGGGGTGTTTCTCAGACAAAGGTAGTTAGACACAGGACACAGGACAAGCTCTGCAGGGGAATCTTCAAGCCAGTGAGTGAGTGTCAGAAGCAGAGCCTGTTAAGAGGGCCAAGAGCCAAGAGGTCCAGACCTCGGACCTGCTCCAAGGTTGCTGGGAGCCTTCCTGGGCTCCCATCTCTCTCTAGAGTGGAAACCACAGCTGCCTGCCTGCTGATCTGAGCATCCTCAGGGGCCCAGGGACCCTGGGACGGAACGCTATGTAGGCCGAGGCAGGCCTGGGGGAGGACATGTGGTGTTCCTGCGGTGCAGTGCAGCAAGGATGAGGACGTACTCTGGGAGAGAGCCGGCCAGCACAGGAGCAGTGGCTAGGCCTCCATGGAGCTCCAGAGTAGAGACTGGAAGGGAGTGGAGCTCACCCCATGGCGGCCTGGCACGAGCGGCCCCTCCAGCTCGCCGAGGTGACAGCCCGCCTACCCAGGATGCTCAGGGTTCTCCAGGACAGCGATGAGCAGGGGTAACCCACCACTTTTCTTATAGATGATCCTGGCTCGAGCAATGAGCTTGAACACCCCCTGAGCAAGTAAGTGTCTGTGCTTCGGGAAGGGGCAGGTTGGCTCTCCCAAACTCCCATCCTCACCCCACCCAAGTTACACACGGAAGGAGTCTGGTGACCCGGGAGCTGCCACTGAGTTACTAGCAGAACACCTGGTCCTGCTGTGTCCCCACCCACTTTCACCAAGAGAAAGACTGGCAGGTGGGTGGGAAGGCCTCCAGCGCCAGACTCACCTGGCCAGCCTCAGCCCCAGGGTCTCCTGCGGGCCCATTCACTGAAAGCTGCCCTCTGTCCACACCGCTGTCCACTCCCCTCCCTCCAAAGCCCCATTCACCCTCCTCCAACCCCTCTCCTCTGTCCACCCCCCTGTCCGTTCTCCACCATCCACACCACCGTCCATCCCCCTCTGTCCAGATGCTCGCCCTTTCTCCCACCCAGGGCCCAGCACAACCCAATACCGGTGCTCAAATTCAGGGAGTACTAGGTCTGCAGCCCAGCTGGGGGCTGGAGGACCGTTCACTCTGGCTGCCCTCGGGAGACAGCACGCCCAGCAGACAGTTTCATGGTGGTCAGGAGGACACAGGCCCCAACATGGAGCTTCATCTGGAGAAAAGCAAGGGCAGGGGGTCCCTACCTGCTCAGCCCCGTAGGCTGTGGCAAACTGCACGAAGTCTTCAGTGTGCACCAGCCCGTCCCCGTCCCCGTCCAGGGCCTCGAACACGGCACGCAGGCGGATCCCGTCCTCAGAGAACCCCGGCGTCCGCTCACCCAGGGCACTGACTGGCTGGCCAGGTGGCTCCGAGGCCCATGGCAGGCATGGGCCCAACTCAGGTGGAGCCAGGCTGTCATCCAGGTCATGGAGGTCACCATCGGGCTCCGGCTCCTGCCATGGGTCCCTCAGGTCCCAAACGCCGCCCTCAGGCTGGGTTCCAGGCTCCAGTAGCTCACACCCCTGGTCCCCGAGGCCGGCATCAGGCTCCGGCTCAAGCTCAAGGTCCTGCCATGGACCCCTTGGGTCCCAGAGGCTGAGCTCAGGTTCTGGATCAGCACCCTGCCCCATGCCCCTCAGGCCTGGGAAATTGGCTTGGGACTCGGACTCAGTTCCAGGCTCCTGCTGCACGCACCCCAGGCCTGGGAGGCCAGGCTGGGGCTCCCATGGCAGGGGCCCTGGCCCCAAGAGGCCAGCGTCTGACTCAGTCCCAGGCCCCTGCCATGGACTGCTTGGATCCTGGAGGCCGGGGTTGGGCTTGGGGGCAGGGACAGGATTGGAATCTTTCTCAGACTCCTGCCCTGAGCCCCTCGGATCTGGGAGACCAGTGTCAAAGTCGGGCTGCGTCCCAGCCCCTTGCCATGGTCCCCTTGGATCCCAGAGGCCAGCATCGGTCTCAGGCTCCTGCCCCAGGTGCCTCAGGTTCAAGAGGCTGGCATTGAACCCAGGCTGGGTCCCAGGCTCCTGCTGCCCCCACTCTTGGTATGAGAGGCCGCCTGCAGGTGCCATCCCAGGCTGCTGCGGCACGTGACCCGAGCCCGGGAGGTCATCGTTGTGTTCGCCTTCCAGTTCGGGCTCCGAGTCACGCTCCCTTGTGTACGAGAGGCAGGCATGGGGCTCAGACTTGGGCTCGGAATCCGGCGGCGACACCCCCAGGCCCAGGAAGCCTTCGTTAGACTCAGGCTCAGCCTCCAGCCGCAAGCATCCTCTGTCCAGGACCCCGGCATCGAGCTCAGGCTCGGGTTCCTGCAGCGCGTCCCCGGGGCATAGGAGCTGGTGCTCGGGCTGAGGCTCAGGATCCCAGAACATGGCCCCCAGGCCCAGGAGGCCGGCATCAGGCTCCGGGTCAGGTTCAGGTTCCCGCGACTTGCTCCCCAGGTCGAGGAGGCCTGCGTTGGCCTCTGGCTCTTGCCGCGCGCACCCTCGGCCAGTGAGGCTGGCGTTGGGCTCCAGCTCGGGGTCCCACGGCGTGCCCCCCAGACCCAGAAAGCCGGCATCCGGCTCAGGCTCTTGCCGAGCGCATCCTTGGTCCAAGAGGCCGACGTCGGGCTCGGGTTTGGGCTGGGGTTCCCGCAGGGCGCTCCCTGGGCCCGGGAGCTCCTTTGGGGGCTCGGGCTCCGGGTCGGTCTCAGGCTCCCGCGAGGCGCATCCCAGACCCAGGAGGCCAGCGTCGGGCTCGGGCTCGGCCTCC